TGTGGGATTTTCCAAGGGAAAAGAGAAGATGGTCTAAGACTGATCCTGAAAAAGCCCACATGTACAGAACGGCAGAAAGAAGAGACCAGAGACATCATTTTCCCTTCTGATTTGAGCCTCCCTCTAAAGTCAGTCTGCACTGTGCAGTTTAGAGGAGAAAACAAAAAAAAAGGTTTTTTCTAGAAGAATAAAATCCAATATGACTTCACTGTTCACTCCTCAGCTACCAACTGGTAGAACAATTTGAAATCATTGATTTGGCCAGATGGTTAATGTTGTTAATGTTGTTTAACAACACAATTAACTAATAAATAATTGTAAAGCAGTTTGTAAATATAAACTGCTACATAAATGTTTAATAATAACATTGAACAGGAGGCTTATTTCAAGTTACATTTTTATATTCAAGCATTTTATTGATGTTTCAGGAGAAATGCCAATAATATGATCAAATGCCATCATTATACAGCAAAGTGATTATAGGGAAACAAAACCAACACTGGCCATGCTAGTCTGAACAGGGCGGACTAGCATGAAACATCTTCATAAAGGCAAGAGGGAAGACAACACGATCATAGATGTGTATAACTGAACACTGAGTGAAACGACTGTAGTACTTAGCAACTTCATTTCACCTACATACTTATAGGAGAGAATTTATCGGATAAAACAATATGAAAGACACAAAGCAGGAGAAAGAACATCAAAGTAGAAGCTCCAAGGAAAGCTCATAATGCAAGTAGTCTCATTAGAGTAACATTTTATGAAGCATTTGAAATCTATATGTCACCTACTCTGTACAACAATGCATTGATATGTATACTACTAATATCCCCTATTTGGCATATAAGAAAATTGATGCACAGAGAGGTTAAGAAACTTGTTCAATATCACACAGCCAGTAAGAGACAGAGTCAGGATTTAAACCTAGACAGTATGATTCCAATGTCTGCTGGGAAGACTTTGGGGAAGGTTTTATTACCCTGATAAAATGAGACAGGTGCACACTTCCTGCTTCTTCCTGCCTCAGAACAAGGATGTGATGGTTGAAGCTGTAACAACCATCTTGGGACCCTGAGGTAAAGGACAAGAGGACCATGGAGACATCAGCCCTGCTGTTGTCAAGCTGTTTAACCCATGCCAGCTGTCACCGACCTCGGGATTCTTGTTATGTGAGAAAAATAACCCTCTATTTGTTTAACTCACCATAGTCAGGATTTCTCCTACTTGTAACCTTAATCAATATGCCCAGCAATTGTGATAACAATAATAGTTATCACTCATTGAGTGCTTGCTATAAACCAAGCATTATTTTACATTTTATGTGTACTTAGTCACTTCATCTTTATTGCAACTCTGTGAAGCAGGCACTATTATTATTCCCATTTTATAGATAAGGAAATTGAGGCACAGTTTTATCTGGGTTGCCCAAGGTCACACAGCTTGTAAGGGATTTAAATCCTGTACCTTGCCTCCTAAACCCTGACTCGTCAACAAACAGTAGCCTAAGCAGTGAAATACTAAAACCATTTCAATTAAAATCAAGAATTAGACAGGGATTCTTACTATCCCATTACTATTGAATACTATTTAGAGATTCTATAGGAAATGTTTCTCAGCAGAGATACTATTGACATTTGGGAAGACAACTCTTCAGTGAGTGGGATGGTTGTATGTTAAAGATGTTGCCATCTCTGTTCCCTGGGTCCTAGTAGAAACATTCTCTAGACGTAATGTCAGCCAAAAATGCCCTCTGCATTTCCCCATAGGGAGGCAGTGTCACTCCGGTTAAGAACCACCATTCTAGAGCAGAGGTTGGCAAACTGTCTTTGTAAAAGTCCAAATAGCAATTATTTTAGGCTCTGCAGGATATACAGTCTCAGTCAGTTTCAATTGCAGCTACTAAACTCTGACATTATTGAGTGACATCAGTCACAGATAACACATAAATGAGCAGTCCTGTGTTCCAATCTGACACTGTTTTATAGATGAGAACCCTGAGGCATGGAGAGATTAAGAAACTTGCCCAAAATGATTCAATTAGTAAGTGATAGGTTTGGATTCAACCAAAAGACAGAGTGATTCCAGGGCCTGTGCTCTTATTCAAAACACTATTGATTTCAAAGATTTTAAATGTTTTTCTCCTAGTAGAAGGCATGGTAAATGCCTCAGAGAACTTATCACACTCCAGACCGGGTCCCTCCTCATCTGTCTGGTGTTTATTGCTCCTTCCCACAGTACGGGCCACCCAAGACTTGCTTGGAAAGCCTGAACCTGTGATACCAAGGACATACTTCATGCTAACCGTGCATGACCCCAAGCGTGGGTCTCTTAGTTGGCTCTGACACACAGCCACAAAGCCCCCCACCATCCACAAATATAAGTTTCTATGAAACTGATCACTAGAACAGTTATTCACTGATCTGTGCCTGTTTTATTGTGCACACCTCAAGGTCTCATTGTAGGGACCACAAATCAACAGCTGCTCATTGAGGTGAGCAGAAATAGAAAGCTCTTAGCCCATGGTCTGGTTCCTGGAAAAATCTATTAATATTAGCTAATATTAATAGAACATACACAGTAGCAGGCAGATACCTCAGTTCATATACGAATATGTGTGTCAATCCAGGAAGATGTACCAAGGTTAAGAACAACCAAATCAATCAGAGCAGTGCTAAGGAGCAAGGCTGTGACTGTCGATTCTGTTAGAGTATCTCAGATCAGGTTTTAGAGTCCTTGTTGTGTTTGGATAAGAAAATGGACACACTGGTAGGAATAGACCAAGTCACCGTATCTACCCACCCAGGAGCCATACAGATGGAGCCCATTCTGGAAGATAGTTAATATTACAATACAGTGTCCCATGGGATTTTGCTGTCCATCAGTGTCTAAGATACAACCTAGTCACTGCCGCTAGTTGAAGTGGGGGCCAGGTTGCAATTCTCCTACCATATGGTAGGCAGGTGGGGAATTTAACAAGTGCAAAGGGGCAGGCTACCAAAGTCAGGAAAAATAAAAATATAATCACCTCATATTGCTTTTCAGGGAGAACTGGAATATGTTGGTTCCAAAATTTTCTGGTTTCTGTAGGGATATGCTTCTATCACGGATATTAAATATGTTAAGGGAAACCAGGGATAGAGATTTTGAACAGATTGCCCATTCAATTGTGTTTAAAAAATTGATAGATTATTTTCTTTTCCAATAGTTATTTGAGAGAATTGACTTGTTGTTTTTACATTGTGTTAACAAAACCTAAAACCATGACGGAATTACAGCTAAACTTCTCTTAAGAACTTGTAGATGTGAAATATAACAATCCTTGAGGTAAACATACATTTTAAATCTCTAATGCTTTCATTCAATAAGAGTAAAATTATCAAGGAAAATGTAATTCTAATAATATTTTTTCATCCATCCTTGTCATTATTTTTTATCCTTTTGTGAAATGATTTCTTCTTAATAAGCACAAAACAAATATAATAAGGTTGTGGTAGGTAAATAACTTTGCCTAATATCATTAATTACTAACAGCTCAATTATACTGTGAAGTGCCTATAATTGTCATGAAGCTTCAAAAATCCTTATCATGGATTCTATTATGTATACAATTCATTTAAATTACATTAATTATACAGATTTTTAATGAAGCGGAGAGACTGTACTTTCAATTTTCACAAGTAGAGACAATGATCAAAATATTTATGTGCATATTACATATTTTATTCTGTTGACATTCATAAAATAATTCATTTACTCAGACAATATTAGCACCTTTATATGGGAGGAAAAAAAACAAAACTAATTTCTCATGTTTGGATTTGTTTTAAGATTATATGATTCTCAGATAGCTCTTTTATTTAATATCTAGCACAATTCAGCCAACATTTTTCAGAAAGCAAAATATTTAAATTATTTTAACAGTAATTTGTGACAGCTATAGAGTGGTTTTAAAACTATGTTTGTTATTGCATTTATAAGCCCAGACTTCAGAGCCTGACTCCCTGAACTAAATCAAAAGATGCTCAGGCAAGTGACTTTAACATTATGTGCCTCAGTTTACTCATCTGTACAATGGGAATAATATCATTTTCTATTAAGAATTTAAAAAGTGATGTGTCAAGTTTTTAAGAGAATGCTTAACCCATATTTAGTTCTATATAAGTGAGTATTTTCTATTTTTTATTTTCTGTTTGAAAGGAGTTCAACTTAACATGAATATTATTTATATATTAATATAAATTATTTATATATTAATATATAGATATGAAGAAGGATGGGATGGAAAGATTAAGCTTACTTGGGTTATTGTGGTAATATTTACTTTGCAGGATTATATACATATGTATATAATTCTAGATTCTAACATTTTGTTCTCTTTCTCCTAATCACCTAGGAAGTCTTTAATCTCGTTTGTTTTTTTTTTTTTTTTTTGTAAATGTTCTTTGGAACCTTGCTAACAATCTCCTGCTTTTCTTGGGTTATTTAACTTGATTACTTCAAATCTGATCTTATTTCTGGGAATAGACTGACCTGCCCTTAAGGTATATCCAATTTAGCTTGATGTTCTTCTTTCTGCTAAGGTCATCCCGGCAAACCTCCCTGCAACTTAAAGCCACTGTAATCAGTGAGGGAAAATACTATGAAAAAATTTGCTTATTTATTGTTTATTTGTTGCTAATTCTAGATTTTATTTATATGTGTGTGTATATTTGTAGGCCGTATATACTATTAAAATTTAGGAAATAAAGAAGCCTCATTTGAAACAAACTTCATCGTGGAGGCGACCTGATGTGACCCTTTCCTCTCCCAGTCTTCTGTCCCACTCTGCAGAGGCAGTGCCAATGAAGTGTGTTGCCCAAGAGGCAGTCAATAGAGAATAAACAAGGAGAAATAGATACCTCAATTAACCAGTGACTTATAGTTCAAGCCTTGAACAATTGAGTGTGGACCTGTCATTTGAAAGTCACAAAAATACTAAGATGTGATTTTTCTTTTAGGTGGGAAATGAGGAAGGATGAAACACTAGAAGAGGAAGAAAAAGCAATGCTGGAACATTTAAAACGAATTTGCACCATGCAGAACTCTTCTGCCTCAGATAACACAGAGGAACAGTAATCTGCAGAAAACAGCAACAGCTTTATTTTAGGAAACAATCACATGCAATGGAGTAGAATTTTTACTAGAGTCAGAATGAAACTCAGATGTGCTGTGAAGCATGAAATCAATGACTGAGTAATCTCTGTACTGAAAAGGAATATAGCACATAAAGACTAAGGTGCTACATATTTTTTATTTTAAAAATAATTTCAAATGTTTTTCTTTCCCCAGTCTTTCTCTTTATATGATATAACTGCTGCCATCTCGTGTTCCCTTTGAATTATTTTTTTCTTCTTTCAGTCTTGATGTATCTATGACAACAGGCAAAAATGTTTGGAAATCTTTTCTCTCAGGATTTTTAATATAACATTTGGATATTAAATTGAGGGGAGTCACGTAGCTTCTGGGGTGTCATCTGAAAATTTTAATTTAATTTCATAGCTGTAGCCCAAGTCCCAGCCTTTAATATCAACCATTGTACCAGCTCCCCCTTCCCACATAACCCCTTCCTCATCCAATTTATCTTAATCACAGCCACAAAGAGCATTTTCGTGAACTATAACTTTAGTCATATCTCCATTTGTGGTGATTTTCAGTCCTTCTCCTGAATCAGATTCAAACTTTTGCTCATAGACTTTCAGGTCCCATACCAAATGGCTCCATGTTCAGGCCACTGCCTCATATCCTCCTTGCTCAAGCCATATACTTGCCATTTTTCCCATCCAGAAACCACCTTTCTCCCAACGTTGAGTTCAAAGCTCATTCCAGCAATCTTTGCCCCAAAGCTCATTATCCATAATGTCTTACTTCCTTTATTTCCATTAATTGATGCACACATACATACACACAAAAAAATAAGGAAAGTGTTCAAGAAGGTGTTCAAACACCTTCTCTGCCAAGTATAATCATAGATATTTATTATATTCTTCCTATCAGTGCCTGATATTAGATTATAAAGACCTTGAAGGCCTTATGATATGATATGAAGACTCCCTTTATAACTCCCCATATGCCAGGTACAGTGTTAGTCATCGAGTGGGCAGTTAATGAACACACTGATTAAATGGCTGCCATTGAAAGAAGACAAAGACATTTAGACTGTGGAGCAGTCTATGGGACATCCGGGAGAGGCCTTACATCATGGGCTATTTTAGACTATATGACATCAAACATCATGGTTTCTGGTGTTCTCAGATGTATAATAAATTGTCCAGACTCCCACATTCTGTGATTTTTATAAAATATGTGTAGGCTACATGATTTCCAAAGGAAAGTACTCATGCATTTTTCAAAGAGTAAAAAGCTTAGGGTACAGAGGAAGCCACCTTAGAAAATCTCTTACATTTTTTCTTTAAATAAAAACACATAAATGGCCATGTAGCCAGCTGCCTGCCAAATAAAACATTTTATTTTTAAAGATGTACTTTAGTTGGCCAGTATAATGATGAACCAAGTGTTTTAAGATATGGTTGAAATAATTTCTAAAAATTCAATGTAGACTATTTAAAAATTGTAAGAAAATTTTATAAGAACTGGACATTCCATTTAATCTTATCTGTAAACAATTACTATAATAATCAACATAAGGCAACAGTTGACTTTATTTCTTCGCCTAAGTGGTGGTCTATGTATGAAATCTGCATAAATGGGCTTTATTAGACTAGACACTAAAATGGAAAGTAAAAATGAAAATAACTTGATCCAATAAACCAAATAAAACAATCTTACAAAGTTATAGGTTTTCACATTTGGATTGTCTTCTAATATATCTAAAGGTCATCTCTGAAAGTTTTTTAAATTGAATCTGTATATTTCTATACTAATTCTGGGAAGTAATTTAGTTCCTCCAGAAAAAAATTCTACTATGGCTTCCTTTTGAAAGGAAAGAAGTATTGTAAGGGGAGAATGGGATGAGTTTGGAAGAAGAGAAAAGCAGTAGAGAAAGAGCTTGCTGTTAAATTCTCTTCTATACATGTTCAGTGAAATTAGTGTAGCATAAGTGCACTAAAGTTTATACTGAGAATGTTAAATGACACATCATTGATTTATCAGATCATTTTGACTTGATACTCAATATGTTTTAAAGTATGATAAGAAGTAGTATTTCAAAACAGTTGTTGTTTCTCACATTTATTTTGCATTTGAATAAGTTAACAACAGTAATGAAGCCTAACGGTTTATAACTCCCCATATGCTTATTACAAAAATATTATCTTCTTATAAAATATTATTAATATCTTCCTTCTGTGTTCTGTTTAACTGTATTTTTATGTAATTATATGGAGATATCTATTTTATTTAGCAGTTACTATGTAGAAATAGTGAATTAAATTTTAAAATAAATTATAAATGATATTGTATATTTCAGATATTTTATATTATCATTTCTACCAAACACTGTTATAGAGCTATTATACCAACCAAAGAATGGAAAAAAGAAATCACTTGTTTTTGTCTAACCATATATGCCTACTCATAATGTCCTATTACCCCAGTTCATATATTCCTGGGTCAAAGAGAGTTCAGGTAGTTTATAATTAGCATTTCTTACTATAAAAAAATCTTTTAAGATTTTTTGTACTTTTCTTTGTACTTGAAATGTTTTACAGTAAAATACATCTGTATTTAGCCTTAAAAAGGAAGGAAAATTCATACAACATCGATGAATCTTAAGGACACTATGCTAAAAATAAGTCAGACACTAAAAGACAAATACTTACTCCACTTAGATATCTGAAGCAGTCAAATTCATGGAGAAAGAAAGTAGAATGGTAGTTATCAGGGGCTGAGGGGAGGAAAAAGGGGAATTGTTACTTAATGGGTATAGAGTTTCAGATTTGTAAGATGAAAATGTTCTGGAGATATGTTTCACAACAATGTGAATACATTTAACACAACTAAACTGCACACTTAAAAATGGTTACCATGATAAATTTTGTTATGTGTTTTTTACCACAAATTAAAAAAAAAAAAGTTAGGTGCCTCTCCACTGACAAACATTCCTAATATGATGCCAGAAAGCTCTTGAATTTTAATAGAAAACTATAAAACCAGTATATTCAGCATTTGTTATTATTACTTACAATGATGAAAAATATCTGCTTTGCCTTTGAGAAATGTTTTCAATAGCACCATTAATAAAACAGTAAATGCTTATTTCTCCAGAATTTAAAGAATCCCAAACCTTGTATAATTTTTCCCCTCAAAATATTGTAATGATCATTTGCGTGAATAGAGATCTGTATTAGTACTCATTGCTGCATAACAGTATTACCAGAATTTAGCAAAACAATACACAATTATCTCATAAGCTCTGTGTGTGAAGTATCTCGGCATGGATTATCTAGGTTCTCTGCTTAGGATCTTACAAGGTGGCAGGAAAGTGTCAGCCAGGGCTATGGTCACATGTGAGGTTCAACTGGGGAAGGATCCACCTCCAAGTTCATGTGGCTGTTGGCAACATTCACTATTTTGCAGGCTACGAGATTGATGGCCTAGGTTTCTTCCTGTCAGCTGTTAGTCAGAGGCTGTCATCAGTTTCTTGCCATGAAAGTCTTCCCAAAATGGCTTCTGGCTTCCTCAAAGTCAGCAAGGGAGAGAATCGCCTTGCAAGATCAGTGTTGCAGTCTTATGTAACATGATCACATGCATTTAATCATGTATATTCTATCACCTTTACCAAATTATTAATATATTGGTTAAAAGCAAGTCACTCATCCACCCTTGCTCAGGGGGAAGGGACCATTCAATGAATGCAAGAGGTGAGGATAGGAGCCACCCTAGAGTCTGTCCACCTCAAGTTGGAATTTAGGCACTGAAATATCTTATGTGGGGGAATCATTTAGGGAAGTGAAAGAAGAGCCTAGAAGGAAGAAGAGCTAGGAGTTATTATTTTCTGTCATTTTTCAGGCAGCTTCTCTAAGCCAAGCTCTGTACCAGACCCTCTGTAACAAGACACCCTGTAAGTATCTCATTTAATCTTCTCTAAGTCCCTATGCAGAAATGTAAAAAAGCTAACCTAAATTTTAATAAAGATGCACAGCAAAGTCCAGGCTATAACACACAACTTCTACCCCAACCACATAGTACTAATAGATGAAACATAGAAAATAAAAAACAAAACCAGAGTTGGGCTCACATGTAAAATAAACAGGCGAGAAATGAAAAGAAATTCAACATTTCCAAAACTGCACTCCTGGAACTGCCTTCCATCCTGACAGTGTGAGAGCTCCACTGACCTATCCCCCAAAGAAATTGGCAAAAAAAAAAAAAAAAAGTTTTTTAAAAAATATAATCATTTAAAGGCTCTGAAAATGGTCCTACGGTAAACAACAAATGAAGAAACATCTATTCAAGAAAACCTATGAAAAGTTAGTAAGAAAAACAAGAGCCTGTGGAATTTGAATCAAGATCACTCCTTGTCTCTCCACTCCCAGTTCAGTGAGGTGGAGACTCCACTTCCTGCAGCCAGGAACACAGGGCTCTCTCTCCCACAGCTCCAGGGGGAGGACTTTCTTCCTTGGAGGAGCAGCACTTCCACATATCTTATCCTGCTCCCAACTACCCACTGCTGAAGCCAAGTCCTAAGTACCTGGCAAGTGCAGTCAAAATGTGGGTTCCCTTTTTTGGCCCAGCTCCCACTCACAGAATGGAGTCTCTGGGGTGTGGTGCACTGAGAGTATCAGGCACTGATTGCCCTTGCCCCAGCTCATGAGGAACACCAGGTAAGACAACTTTTGTGAAGTCAATTTTATCAATCTTTTCTTTTATGGTTTATAGTTTTTCCATCTTGTTTAAAATTTTTTTGCCTATCTGAAAGTCTTATTCTTTTGTTTTACCCTAAAAGCTTTCTTGATTTACCATTTACATTTGGGTCTATTACCCATCATGAAATTTTTTCTTTAGGATATGAGATAAGGGAATGTCTTAGCTGGATTTCTGTTGCTATAAGAGAATATCACAGACTGGGCAATTTATAAAGAGAAGAAGCTTATTTGGCTCATGGTTCTGGAGGCTGG